TCGAACAACCATAGTCTCCATGGCTGTGTAAATTCTCTGTCTTCCTGCTGAATGCCTACTACACGTACTTTCTTCTTTAATGTAACTCATTCCAAAGAAATTGCATAACCACCCATTATGATTTAACTAGAATGTGCTCAGGAAGATAGACCTCCATGCTGCCTCACACGTTTTCAGAAAAACTGAGCGAAATTACCGTTGTCTCCCATTTAAGCCTTTTTTCAGGTAACAGCAGACACCCATACCATAGCCTTTTGGATCACAGAGACACACAAAGACATATAACTATGCAGATGCACTGACACCTAAGAATAAAATTTAGAGGCACCATTTTACCTAAAAGTAAGATTTTGGAATGTGGGAGGAAGACAGATTACATGGAGAGGCCCCACGCATGCACGGGGAGAATATGCAAACTCCATGCAGAAAGACCCTTGGCTGGGAATTGAATCTTCAGAATCTTCTTCATGAAAGTTTTTCAGAATTAATTTGCCATTTATTGTATGACAAAAGTATTTGATACTTTAGAAAAACCAACACTTAATATTTGGTATATAAGATTTTTTCAATTACAAATATCAAAGATTTCCTGTAGTTCTTGACAAGCAAAAGGGACTTTGGACTATTTATCCATACACATTCTCCACATCCTTCAGGTTTCAGGGCTTTAGCTGAAAAATATCTACCTTTAATTCCCTCCAAAGATTTATTTTCTTTTTAGTTCACTCCTTGAGATGCTCTTAAACCTTTGGTTCTACTGTATTTGGAAGCAGTGCGTAAGTCCTGCAGTGCAGCGGCACTTTCCCCACTGATCACAGCAACTCTAGTCAGTCAGGGTGTTTATGTGTTTAAAGGTAAATAGTACATGCTTCAACCTAAATAGTAACTATACCTCAAATCAAGCTTGTTCTGTTTTTTTTTAGCTTGTACCTGTTTTCATGTTAGAACAATCTGTCCAAAAAAACAAAACTTTGACCTGCTGTTATTGTTTTGACTGTAATCATCTGACAGATTGCTTCTGCATTGTTATCTGCCTTCCCTTAATTTAGTCGCATATTGTCAAGAAACTGTTTCGCCATAAACCATGATAATAATTTTGGACATTGAGAACCAATGTCTATGTTTCTTCTTAGCATGATCACTGGAGAAGAGAATGCAGTTTTGCTCATAAAACAGCTGGGAGACCTTTCTTTTCTGCTCTGAAACCCAGGCTCAAGACCCAGATCTCCAGAATGAACAAGGCTAAGTCATGATGATTGACATTCCATAACCGAACTGCTGCAAAACAGGCCGTTTGCAACACATTTCTCTGAGTTTCAGAACTTACAGCACCAGACTGGAGGTGAAAGAAGCCATTTCTTAGGTTCGAGCCGCAGGGGACAAAGGACCCCCCCAGCCTTTCGTGCGAGCCTGCCCTGCTAAACTGCTAAGTGCTGAGGAGAAGTCAACCCTTCCAAAAGGGACATGGACAGAGGTTTGCAGGTCTGGCACAGTTAGGGACAGAATCTAGTTAAACAATACATATTTTGATGATTTTGATCATTTCATGTGTTTACTGATGAATAAAGACAAAGCTACCAGGATGGACTGCAAGCTACGCTTTACTACAGTAATATGTTTTGAGCTCTTGTTGAAACTTGGACAAGCTTTATTACAGTAAGGGTCTAAACACTGATATAACATTAGTGTCCATGCGTTTTCTCATATGTTTATTACATTTGGATTACCAAGTATGACCAAGAGTCATTTAATGGAATCCTCATGTCCATACGCTCCTAGCTATTTCAAGGAGGGTAAAGAATCATTTAACCAAAGGTTACTGAGTCCTGATTAAGCAAGTCATTAAGTGAAACAATATTTGGCCAAATACATTTTTATTCACCTCATGGATCTGCATTGTGAATTGGTTTGAAAACATTCCAATTGCTATAAATAATTGATATAATAATTTTCCCTTCCTCTTCGTACATAGTAGTTTAGTTTAGTTGAGTTTCAGTAGTTTTAGCCAAGAATCTTTAACTGAAATATGTTTGACTTGGAGCTGAATGATTTTGTTAATAAACTGTAATATTTTGCACAAGAAGTTGTGGTGAATTTATTCCATGTATCTGCAGAATTAACTGTTTGACCATGATTTGAACTCGATTCACACTTTCATTTGTTGTTCTATCACACAGCCAATAGGGCGCGTGTTCATAAGCAAAATATAACAGTCTGAATTATATCTGATTAATAAAGATAATTGACATCCCTACGGGGGAGGGCAATAAACATCTTAAAGTTTCAAAACTTCAATGCCCAGCTGGCTGGGCATTCCACAATCCTCAGTAAATATTATTTCTTGATTTGGTGCCACCAATAAAGTTTACCATTTTTTCTGTCCCAAGCAGTTAGATTTTTCCTTAAAGAAACTGAAAGATATAATTGTATTTTAAGAAAATAACTTTACAAGATTTATTGAACAATTATCAAATAAAATATGCAAACTAATTCTACATTTTGATATGCATGATAAAGTTTTACTTTGTCTTACTGCTCATATTCACATGTGCTGCCAAGTAATGCCCTTTTAAACAGCACTTGGTAAACAACAAATTTGATCAAATGGTCCACATCATTGATTTGTATGTGGTACACGTGATATGGTTTTTTAGTTTCTCTGAGACATGACTGAGGATGACTAAAATGAAGCCATAAGAGCGTTCTGACCAGCTGTCTCACTGTGTGGTGTGAAGGCTAGAGCGCCTCAGACTTGAAGAACATGAGAAGAGTGGTGAGAACAGCAGATAGGATCATTGGGCCGTAACATCATCAGCCACTCTTCACACCCCCACCATGGACTAATCTCCCTCCTGCCTTTTGAAAATATGCTTCCCTGCATTCGATACAGGATCGACAGGTTCTCCAACAGTTTCTTCCCCACTGCGATCAGACTGCTGAACTGTTGAAAAAACTAAATTGGGGGAGTGGCAGCTTAGTGGTTAGGGCATAGAGCTTGTAATTCTGAGCTTCTGAGTTCAAGCCCCACTCCTACAGACTGCCACTCTGGGTCTCTGAGCAAGACCTTTAACCCCACACTGTTCCCTGGGCGCCTCACCATGGAAGTCCACTGCTCCCCAAGGGGATGGATTAAATGCAGAGGTAAATTTCTCCAATGTGAGATCAATAAAGTTCAGTTATTATTATTATTAATGTCGGAAACTCTGCATCACACTGATAACACCAAACCAAAAATACAGAATATTGCTGCAGCTGAAAAGAGGCCGCACGTCATATTAAATAAACACTTCGAATTTTCCCACTGTCTGTCATGCCTGAATTCTGGGTCCTATATGTTCTGAGCCTTCTGACATAGAAGTCATTGTTGCATTGCCTATAAGAACCTTAACCCCACACTGCTCCCCCGGCACCACACAATTGCTCTGTACTTGTTACAGTGTAATGACAATAAAAGCTGGAAAAAAAAACATATGTATATTAGAAATTGCTGCATTTTGCTTTGTCATCCGTCACACATAGACTTAACCTGTATACTTGAATGGCGACGGAGGGGAGCTGTGTGTCATTCTGCGTTTCAACAGAGTCAGTAGTTACCAAAAAAACTAGAAAAATTTCTCTTAATGACCGAATAGAGGATGCATGGATGAAGGGCTCATTGTTGATGAGGGGGTCTATTTCACCAGAGCTGAATTCGAAAATCTGAGGGTAATAGATAAAGCCTAACCCAACCTAGCGTGAGAAGTGCACTCTGGCTTCATCCATTCCAAAAATGCCAAACCAGGTTCCTTGTGTGTGGCTAGTCCACTACCTCAAGCCAGGTGTACATAATGAAGCTGAATGTGATACGAAGACTTTCTTTGAGAGATCTGATCACAGGCATAACTTTCTGTAGGACTGGTGTGGACATGTTCCCACCAACTTTTGGCTGGTGGGGACAGTCCCCACCAATAATTTCCGCTTTTTTTCCCCTTTCTGCTGATTTACTTTAGCCAAAGGTAACAGATTTGGGTGCAGCTATCTGTCTTCTGAGCCGTGTTTTTTTTTTTTCCTCTCTCCTGCAGCTCCCGGTGTAACATCGGCTGTGTTCGAATTTATGGGCTGTGTCTTCCAAGGATGTGGTCTACCTGGACTGGATCCTTTTAAGTCCTTGAAAATAAGCATATCGGAAGAGTTTTGGCTGTGAATTCAAACAGGTCTATCCTATCCTATGGCTTTCTCCGCCATACGCTCTGTGGCCTTTGTGTAACAGTTGACACACAAAGCAGAAAAATAATGAAAACCGAACTATGTAAAACTGTTTCTTTTTACATTTTTTTCTTCTTTTTTTATTGTAAAGTGAACACAGATTACACTCATGAGTATACAGATTGGAATAAAGGTGCCAACAAATGAGAACATTAACAAATAAAAGCCAATGTAATGATATAAACTTTAGTCAGTTAAATTAACATGCTGCTGGCATTTTGCACATCTCTGATGTTGCTGCTATTTTCAAATATCCCTTACTGTAAAAATGTCCATAGCTGTATAATTGTTATTTATTCTACAGGTGCAAAGTGATTTATATTGTTAAAACACTTTACAGTACAGTATTTTATTGTTTATCTTTTAACTCTTCACTATTATGTTATTCTTATAAATTTTTCTAAGGTCCACATTTGTGTGACCACTTTTTCAAATTTTGTTTTGCTGCTGTGAACACCAGAATTTCCCCATTGTGGGACAATAAAGGGATTTTCTATTCTATTGTATTCTATAAAAGTGGTAGAAAGATATAAGTAAATCTAAACAATAAATATATATATATACATTTATTATCTTTTCTTTAAATAAATGTTATTAATACCTGATTTTGCATCATCTCCCCTCTTTTGTTGCTGCTCCTGAGCTAGAACATTAAACGAGTATGAACACAACACATACATTTTTTAAATAAAATGACTTAAAGAAATTGTACAAATGACAGATTTCAGGTTTTATTTCAACCAACTCTTGCTAGTTTATTGGTAGAATTGCTCAGTTACAACTTTATTTTACAAAGGGAACATAAAATCTGGTCTTTTAGGGTCAACTATAAAAATAGAAAGTAATTCTTCTTACAAAATGAATCATCCTTATTTTCTGTGGTTGGTTAGATCTATAAAACATGTCACACATGTGTCATGTATGTTTATTTTACAGTTAGATCTTTAAAATGTAACTCACATTAATATTCAATATTGATATTTAACATAAGAATACACACTGTCCTCAGCCCCATTCATTTTCTTTCGTCTTCTAGCTTTACCAGCAGAGAAGTGTAATTCTGCATAGTTCAGGTCGCGCTCGTCACCATTCTGTAAAGGTAATAAAATGGCAATTAAAAAGTGAAGCTGACAGAAATCATTTTGGTACCTGTCAAAATTGACTGGAGTTTACAGCTTTACTTACAGTCTGATCACTTTGCTCACTCAAGTTCCTCAATCTTTCTTGTGAAGGGGTCCCTTCTATCTCTAATTGTGAAGAAAGAAACAAGAAAGTGTTTTCACTCTGACTTCAACTGAGTATTTTTTTTCTCTCTCATCTTCTCTTCACTCATGAATAAAAAAATACCCGGCCACAACATAGGTCATTTTTTTTAAACTTATTTTGAACTTAATATTTTCTTTACATTTTTAACCCTGAAAAAGTGACAGATATTATGTCACTAAACTTTAAAGTTAGTGGTCATACATTTCACAACAGTTATCACCTTTCATTACATTAAGCTATTTTATAGTTTGTAAAATTAACCCCAAAACAAAGCTGTCATCAGTGTATAAAGTTTACTATGTGTATTGAGTATAATTAACAGTGTTGGGCAAGCTACTTGTCCAGTGTAGTGAGCTAAGCTATCAGTTACTCAACAATAAATTAAGCTTCACTACACAAAAGCTACCACCTAAAGAATTATAGCAAGCTAAGTTACACTAATGTGTTAAAAGTAGCTTAGCTACTTAATGTTGTACCAAGCTAATGTCAGTTCAAAATGTCTCCTTTAGAGAAAACGTCTTCAGACCTCAATTAAACAAATCGATTCCAGTAACAAATGAAACTGTTTACAAAAGAAGGTGAAAAAATAAAGAAGCTAATTAAGAGATATATACATTTATGTCTCACTGTATAATTTAATTTCTACCTACATATTTATTCATTGTATTTTGGGGGGTAATTAATTGAATGCTTATTTATTTATTAAGCATGTATTTATTTATGTATTTATTTTTATATATGGGAGAGCTGTTTCTCCATACCTAAAAAATCTTATCTGTGCAAATAAGCCTTGAAACAGATATATGTAAACATCCTGTCTGGTAAATTAGGCCATGAAAATGCAATATGTAAGTTTGGCTACTGCTCTCTAATGAGAATATCTTAGTGGCACTCATCAGATTTAACTGGAAATTAAAGGCGCCAATAAAGTTAAAGCTGATATATTTTTCTCATTTTTATTTCAAAAAAGTTGACTGTAGTTGACTGTTTTAATTAGTGTTTGACTATGTAAAACAAATGGCTAGTCTTGGCCACATGAGCTTTCTATGGCCAAGAACCTTGAAAATCACTCATGTTTGCATAACTGAACATTATAAAATATTATAAAAAAATAAAAATCACTTGCATACTGCAGGAGGGAAATTAGTGATTCACCTGAATGTGAGTTCTTAGGTTGGTGTTCAATGTCCTGGACATTGACAACGGTTTGGTTTTTGGATTGCAAAGCAGACATCTGAACACATACTTTTTATCAGAGGATTCAACAAGTTTCAAAATCTCTGAAGATAAGGCCACGGTGTGGTAGGGACAGTTGGCTGCTCTTCTCGCTCTGCTCCTGTCTCCTCCTCCATCCTCTGTGTCTGGCTTTGTGTGTCTGTGTGTGTCATTCTTTGAGTTCCACTGCAGTGCGCATGCGCATGTTTCGTAGACACAGACTGGAGAGGCAGAATAGAGGCTCATGCGTGAATGTCCAACGAATAACTCCGATTGTTGTTTCAAAAATAGAAAACCTGGTTTCATTACTTAGTTTTGCCCTGGATTTTGTAGCGTTTCCGGACGCTACGTCGCTACTTGATAAAAACAATAACGTCACTACTGGAAAGTTACTAGATAAATACGGTCAAGCTACTGGAAAATGTAGTTAAACTAATAGCTTCGCTACATGTAGCGGCGCTACTGCCCATCACTGATAATTATTAGATGTCCTGATTTCAGGGATACCACCAGAATGGTCCTAAAGATGGTGGAGGGAGAGTTTGCTCTGGGGTTCACCCGAGAATCTCCCATAGTATGCCATATACTGAAAACGATAACTCCTATTGAGAGTCCTCTGAGGAAGAAAATAGAAATAAAAAAGTTTAAAGGGTTATTAATGTGGTGGGTTAGTTGACTTTTTTTTTATGAGAAATTGCAGCTACTGTAGAATAGTTCATTTGAGGTTTGAAGAATCTATGCACTGTAGTTTGAACTGGACCAGTCCAGGTACAAATAAAACATTTGAATGGGTCTTAAATGAATCTTCATTATTCTGATAGCTTGCACAAATCACAAACCGGTTTTAAAACTTCTTTAATTGTAAAGTAATATAATCTAGGTTTGAAAGCAGATTTAAGAGATGAAATAGCCCTTTACGCCAAAAACCGTTTCTTCAAACAGAGGCCACATCAGAAGCTAACTTCAGCTTGGCGCTAAACACCTATTTAGCTTTCCACCATAGGGTCATCGATACCAATGTCATTTAGAGTGTTGCTATCCAGAAACAGACAGGAGTTTGTGTTCTGCTTGTCAACCTTAATGCAAATCTCAGCTCCCTGAATTTCTGAATGGTACAGTATCAACACTGCATGATGGCTCTTCCTTGCTGTGCTCTCAAAGTAGTTCTGCACAGAAGTAGACTGGAAAGTTGCCTCCAACTGCAAACCTGATCACGGAATCAATGGGAAAATATGGGGTAACAGCAGCCGCAAGTCAACCACAGGAAAGACAGAAACAGGGTCAACCAAAGAGAAACGAGATTCTAATTCAGCCTGAGTTATAAAGACAATAAGGTCACCAAGTTGTTGAAAGAAATGCTATGTACCTGTGTACAACGAAGACAGCTAGAAAGAAATAGTCTGCCTTGAATGCATAGAAATCGACTTGGAACATGGTGCAAGACAGTTGTACACATCTAAATACTCTCTCAAATAAACACTTATCCATACCACTTCTCCTAAACACATACATACATAGAGATAGAAAATGTAGATTTATATTGTTTCTTTTGCTGCTGCGCAATTTAACAACTTTAAAAATTGACTTATACCAAACATTACATAGTTTTTGGGTGGACAAAGCTAGTTATTCTTAACCAAATGGACAAAAAACAACCTAACATTACAGCTTATTTCTTACACATTATTGAAAGTGTGCTCAGCACTGTTCTCATGCATCAAAGCCAGATTAATATTTCAAGGGTTATCGCAATATGTCTCTATGCACAGATTAAATTATTAACTTTGGAATAATTAAAGTTCTAGTTTTCTAGAACCCCTAAAGTCACTGACAAACTCTTACCTTTAAATTGTTTACATGCTGCTGTTGGAGTTTTGTGGCAGATCAAAACAATATTTCCAATCAAAGAAATAATCAAACAGGAAACAGCTATAAGAAGTACAAGTGATACAGGGTCTGTCACTGTAAAGTAAGAACACCATTGATCAAAAATCAATTTAACTGCAAGAGTATGTTTGAAAAAATACATTTTCAAAACCTACATATAAAATCTTACCAACTTCTGGCTTGGTTGCAACTCCAAATAGTATCTCTCCACATGTGGCCACAGCACAGTAATAGGTTCCAACATCGGAGGATCTGATGTCCTTAGAGAAGTTATATACACATCTAGTTTGATGGTCGATTTTTTTCTGACATGTGTTGGTTCTGTATCCCTCAGTGTAGATGATATCTGGAGGAGACTTATCTGATCTGAACCAGAAAACACTGAATTCTCCTGGACATGTCTTGCTCTCAAAGTCTGAGAGGACTGAACACTGTAGAGTCACATAATCCTGTGGATGAAGAGAATCTGGTTCCATCAGCTTCTGAAATACTTTGTAGTTTGATGTCCCTGCAGTGTTTCCTGTCGGATATCAAACAAAACTCTTAGATGATGCATTGAAAAATTCAGTTGTAAGG